AGAAAAGTAGAACATAAGAGCAAGCTGTGATATGGTGATTATTGGAAATTATGCTTCCAATGCTCATGTTGGTCAGCTGCATTTTCAAACTCAAGAAAATTTTCCTTTGAATCAGCATTTTATAACACAAATTTGCATGATACTTTGAATTTACTCGTTTTCTGACAAATAATTGCTTCTGGACAGCAACAATGAAGAATTTGTCAAGAAAAAGCGAATGGCATGATTTCTAACATCAGAAAATGCTTTTAAAAATGGTCAAGGGAAGTGTTGAGGTACTTCATTTGCACCTTGTTTGTGCATCTCGCGGGGCCTTAATATCTCCTCCTTATCGGTGGCTGCTTTGGAGTAATCTAAAAAAATAATCTTTCCATAAGTTTTTACATATCAAGGAAAGCACCTTCGCAGTCTTGATCAAACCAGGAGTTCTCTTTGTAGGTGGAGTGTCATGGTTGACCTGAAAAGTCAAGGAAATCGATGTTTTTTGCAATAATTGCTTCTTTATGAAGAAAACACCAAAAACCACCTCCATTTCAGGGCCCGGTGTGGTCAACCTCTTAGGAGATGCCTAAGTATCAGATTATAGTACATCTTCTTGAGAATCGAAAGGCAAATGCACACACATACAGATACAACTACAGGGCTCTTAGCTCGCTCTTCAATAGGTTGGCCCGGTTTAACTTTTGCGGCAGCTGGGTGGCCACGTCTTCCACGTCTTGGACGTGGTTCTTCCGATCTGATGCTCTCTGACAATACTGTATTTATCGAAGATCCACGCGCGCCCATTGTACCTATCATTTAGAATTGCTGTGACGAAAAAGTGAAGCTGCCATTTCGCTTGAATGATAGAACAAGGACAACTTACTTGTACTCATTGTGGAAGTGTCCTGAACTTCTCTTTCGTCTGTAGTTTGTTCCCCACGCGGCACTTCCACCGTATCGCTCTGATAAGTTACGTAATCAAATATCTCAATATGAAATTTTACATCAATTACATGTTTCTTTTAAACTCTCTACACTGAAAAAGTAAGACAAGTTTAAGAACCATTTACCTGTCCCTCGAGAGGCCCACTAATGCGCTCCAGCGTTTCGTCAGAAGGAGCCTGAACTTCGTCACCGGCTCCCTGTTCTTCTCCGAATGACTGATTTAGAGAATCATCCAATCCATCAAGTTTCATGGTCTCTTTTAGTCTTAGTCCGACTGCATATGCATCATCAATGAATATACTTTTTACAGCCACAGACGCCCTGAAACAATAAGATTAACGCATTCGGAAGCCTAAGCTAGTGTGATTTTCAAACTACTGGTACGCAAAGATGATTTGAAGAAAACTAAGCAACAAACAAGCCAACCCATGATGCTTGGTCTGAAACGCAACAACTTCAATCTCCTGCGCGTCTGGCCTCAAAATTGGATCTTCTGGAGAACGGTAAAAGCCCGGTGCCTGATATCCTTTGGGGGTTCCTCAAAAAATGCAAGATTTGTTACGATCGCATATGATCATACATTGTAGCTTTGCCTTTAATTTTTTGGGCTCTGAATAGAAGCACACAACTTCAATCATATAAGCTAAACAGCCTAGTCACATTAACAGCAATTAGCAGATCTGCATGATTGGAAAACGTGAATTTACGATATTCCGCCTCGGATAGGCTGTTTTTTATGATAAATTTATTTCTGACTGTAGTGTAGCGTCAGTTGGCAAACTAACTGTCTGTATAGGTGATTCGCAAAGCAGACGAAGCTGTTGGCGGCAATGGACTGAGCAATTCCCTGCATAACGCCCTCAACATGAGCAAAAGCTCAGTAACTTGTTTCTTTAAATGTTGCATTCCTTGAAAGCGAAGTGCTGCCATCACCGTGCCATCGCCCCTTAACAAAACTTTATGAGGTGCGATAACGAGAGAGGAATAGGATTGCTACATTCTTAGCTCTGCCTGAGGATCACCGTCGATGTCGTAACGCATTCTCCAAGTGTACATTTCAATTGCATCCTTATCGTCCTCTTCAGTTGGAGTTACTACGAGCATCAGCTCATGAAGATACCCCTTCT